CACTGTAAGTAAAATTTCAACTTTCAAAAAGACACAGAAAAACGCCGAAATACGTGAACTTAATTTTCGGTCGTAGAATCTAGTGGCATACTCCGTTTTGAAAAGTTAGGTCAAAATCGGGAGATATTGGATTTTAAAGTTTACACTGTTTCTGAGGTGTTTTTTGATTACAGTGGGACCTCGATTTTCCGTGATGGTCGGGACCGGAAGTATTCTGTATAATCGATTTTCCTGGTTAATTGAGTGACAATTTTGGCTAGTTTTTTAATAGATATTTTTATTAATTAATAAATGTATATGTATATTTATATAAAAACTAAATAATTCAAGGATTTTATATTCATACATGTTTTAAAAATATAAAAAAAAATTATTTTGTCAGAAAACAGTAAACAGTGGATTTGTTCTAATTGTACATGGTTGTTAAAAAATAGAATTTTGCTTATAATCACGGATAATAGAGGTAATAACGGTTAAACGATGCAGAAAAATTTAAGTCAATCCAAAATAAAATTAAGTCGATGCAAAAAAATTTATTTTTCCATCCCGGATAATTGATGTTGCCGGATAATCGAATCACGGTTAATCAAGGTCCTATGTATTTAAATTAAAAAAACTTTCACGCATAGAAAATTATGAATTAATTATGCATATACATATTATGCATGTACATATATTTAGCTTTTTATAATTAGTTCGTATGTCTATGCGTGAAAACTTTTTTCAAAATTTTAAAAATTAAAAAATCACCTCATAAACAGTTCATACTTTAAAACACAATAATCTCACTGTAAGTATGTCTTTTTGACATACTTACAGTGTTATCAATACTAGTTTTTAAAACGATAAAAATGGATTGGTGTCATGAAATCCAAAGTAATCGGTTTTATGTCCGATTTAAAATTTAATGCTTTATTGAATAAAAAATATAACATTGGTTTTCATGAGACTAATGTATTTTTTGCAGTTTTCAAGTTCTACAAAGAAAATATTTTTTTTTTCAAAATTGTAAAATAGGCTAAAAAATTAAAAAAAAATAAAAAAAATTAAATTTGATTTTTTTAAATAAAGTTTTGAAAAGAAAATTAAAAATGTACAAAAATGAAAAAAAGCGAAAAACTTCAAAATATGCACTAAAAGAGTAAAATATACTCTAAAAACTCGAAAATATGCCTTAAATATGCTACAAAAGTCAAATCATGCAAAATTATGCTCTTATGGGTAAAATATGCAAAAATATGCAAAAATATGCTCTAACAAATCGATGCCAAAATTATTAAATTGGTCTGAAACGTGTAAATATCTTATCCATGAGTCCATACGACGCACTACAAAAAACATGCATTTGCATATTTTGGTTTCCCTGGTTATAATTAATTATATGCATAACATTCGGAACAACAATCACGAATTGATAAATTTGCATGAAAAAATATGGAAAAACACAGGACAAAAAATGTTTTGCCCTGAGACCATGGTATGCTATTCTTTAGAATTAGATTTCGATTAATAAAGATCTTTTCGCGCTATTATAACCTATCAAATATGGAAGCACATGACACAAAAACCTGATGTGATAAAAAATTCGAATGTCAGATTAGAATTTAGGGTAGTAATCCTTCCTTTCGACTATTTAAAATCTTTGTTGGTCTGTGTTATTAAACATCAGTATAAATGAAACTTTTTATACAGCATATTTCGTATGTTCCTCGAGAATTCTGACTAAAATCTAAATAGTGAGGAAACGTAGTGTATCCGGATAATTCGATAAAATCACTCTGAAAAATCAGTTAAAAAATAAAACATATCTATATGGAAACAGAAACGAAACTACTTAGTTCTGATTGTTAAATATTAATGTGTACTCACGGTTCAGATACAGTCACTTTAAGTTAGGATAAATTAAATTCTTGTAACTCACTCGACGAAAAAGCAATAGCTTTATAAATTAAATGTCACGGGTCCAAAAAGTTCATTGTCACTTAAAGTAATATGATTTTTTTAGACCATTATCTGAAAATCCAAATCGCACTGAAAAATTTTTATTTAAAAGTGGATATCTTTCAAAACTCCACTTTCTACCGAAATTTCTTAATTTAAAGTTTCAACTCGCCAAAAGCGGGATTATCCCTTTCCTTTTTTCAGAAAAATATAATTTTATGTACCAAATAGCACTCAGAAAAAATCTGCGGAAAGGCGATTTTATTATCGTTATTTATGGAAATTATTATAGCGAAAACGATATCATAATTTCTTGGATTATTTAGTACGTAAATACTATCGTTCTCGATACGTGATATCCCATCGATATCGTTATAATATCGTTTGGGTTAGAATAAATTTTGAGGTGCTTGCACCTTCTTTGGGAACCTAACAATCGACTCAGAAAACAAAAATAATAATATAAAATTTGGGACTTTCTTAAACTCACTTTTTAACAGTTTTTTAGGATTTTTTTGGAACGTTAAAAAAAAAATAATTTTCAAGAAAATTCTTTACGTTTTATTCCTGAATTAGGTATGGATCCGAATATATCATTCTCATTAATATCTTTTCCGACATCTATTCATCAAGATTTATTAAGAATATTTTAACGGAATTTTCAATATTTTTTTGTGCAACAACATTTTTGTGACTAGAAAACCACTGTTAGAGTCTTGTGAGTAACACCAATAAAATTTGTTATATAAACAATAACTAAAACTCTAAATATTAATTTTTTTCCATAAAATGGCATCTTCGAAAAATCACCCAGATGCTCAAATTAATATCGATATACATACATATGTATATAAGATCCGTCTTATGCCCGTAATTTCAACAAATAGATATCTATCAAATCAGTACCTATGGATTAAAATTACCAAATATTTTTACACCAAGGGTAACTATGCACTGATAGATACCTATTTGTTGAAATTACGGCCATTAGTCGAGTATAATGTTTTTACTTGTTTTGATATTAAGTTTTATTAAATCCAATGAATGACAATTTTCAAAATTCCGCTTTTCGAAATATTTTCATTCAAATCCCGCTTTTCAGTCACTTGGATCCCGCTTTTATTCCAAAACCATCTGGTCACTTTAGGTATACACGACTTATAGGGCTATAGCTATCATTGTATTCATATATTTCAGTATCAACATCGTATATTCGATAAAACTTGAGCCAGTTTTATAGCTGATAGTTAAGCTTGAAGAACGCATCATTGATCAGGAGGTTTGAAGAATACTACTGTTCCCGTATGTGTTATATAAACGCCACATCCATGTTTTGTTTTGAGGCCATCAGTAAAATCTTCAAAGAGCCGCTACGGTGGATTGTTAGTTGGATTGTGTGGGGTTGTAGTAGTCAATTAATTAGATCAATGGGTAACCAATTAATCATGACAGAGAGGGCCTTTCGTTCCCACGACCCGAGTCATATTCGGCCTAGGATTGTCAACCCAGCGACAGCTGTATCAAACAAAAGTTTTTTTCCCACAGTCGAACTGTTACAACAACAACAAAAGGGCCTTTGGTGAAGTGGTTCGAAGGTCCCCAGTAATTATTAATGCTTGTGTACGAAGGATTCCTTAATTTTTTTTGCGGTAGCTATCTTTTTGTGAAGACTTTGACCAAACAGGTGCATCTTACAACATTATGGTCTGGGCTTTATTACCATGTCGAAGAGTCATTTGATATTCCTAGGCTTATACCCCAGGATTTACCTATAACTCAACTACATGAGTATCAGGATGTAGCAAAATTGCTCACCCTAGATTGAGTCTTCAGATATCTTCCTAGTCTAGAATACGGGATGACGCCAGATATTTTTCACTATCAGATAGTTTTAGCTTTACCCCATTTGGACGAGATGTGCGAAGAGAACACGTTTCGTTTTCGATGGATTAACACCAAAATCACATATGATACTCCAGGTATTAGACTGATTCTTTGCGTTACGCAATAGGATTAAGTTCTACGAGAAGTGGGATTAGCGCCAGATTCCCGTGTAGTGATACGATTTACCAACTGTGTACCAATTGCTATTCCCATTTCGGATATATAAGACCATTTAAGACAGGTATTATATAATCAAAAGAGCCAAGGTATTAATTGGACAGCACTGTGTTGCAAATCTGCTGGTATCCGAATCCTGTAATTTATATGGTTCAAAACTGTTAATCGTCCAGCTAATCTTACCATTTATTGATATTTTGGTATTAACATGGCAATCTGAACACTACATATCAATTTCCATTTCTAGGGAATGGTAGCCTAGAGATTCTAGAGTTTTCTTGTTACTAGGCAGTTGGACTACAAGTACATGGTTTTTAGTATTTAACGTGTTACAAAAGGGACTTGCGCTTTGCACTTTTATCAAGTTTTGAAATATAAGGATCTTATAAGGAATCCAGTTTCGTGTTTTCTTTACCTCGTTAAATTCTCTACGAGAATCTCTGTCTTTGTAAACTTTTTGCATACATGAGTTGGAATGCACGATCTGCAGTGTCGACCGCATTTTATATTCTGATTGGCATAGTCTATACAGAACGGAGATTAAATCAGCTTGCTTAGCCCAATCCGTTAACTTCTATTTCTGAAGGGCCTTGAGTCCTCTACGTTAGATCTAGTTAAAAACCGTCAAAAAAGAAAAACTTCCTTCAAATGACAAATGAATGTAAAATTCAATGCTATTTATTTTTCATTTCTTTACTGGGATGTTGTTTGTAGGACTTTTGATTCGTGAAAATATCTAATTTGTTGTTACGCCCTTTTTAATTTTTTATAACAAAGTCGTTGTTTTTTTACAATAGAGTTCTAAACTTTGCGGCAACATGCAATGTATCATTTTCCATCAAAAATGTCAATTTAACTTTTTTAGTTGTTATAAAGGACGCTCCGAGGAGGAACAGTTCTTCCCTACGGAAGATCAGAATTAGCTCAGCAATCAGTTTGATCGCATGGAAGATATATCCCATTGATTTCCGCAATAGAAAATGTTTGCAGGGTTATTGTGTAATATTGTGAATTTATTAAAACAAACATATACTACATATGTGAAAAAGGGGTTAATATAAACAACATTTTAGATTAATTAGCTTTTAGTGGTTAAAATAAAATTAGTAACTAAATATAATAAATAAAATTACATTGAAATGAATTAAATGCTAATGCTGATTGATGTAATTCAAAGGGTTCGGTAGAAATTCTTCTAAAAACTGCAAGCCAGTTGGCAGTAAATGAATTTCTTCTCGAAAATTATGAAGTGATGGGGAAATAATATTTTTGAAGCTCAGCTTCTTCAGATTAAGCAATTCCACTTTAAATTCAGTTTTCTCCACATATCTGAAATCATTATCAGTTCTCTTGACAATTTTACGAATAATTTTACGTACGTACGTTCGCAATTCATCTCTGAAAAATATAATAGTAAATAAGAATAAATGTTGAAGTTTTCGGTAAAAAAAATTTGTACTACCTTATAATCGATGCTTGATTCGTAAAAGTTATTCGCTGCAAATAATTTCCCATTTGTATAGTATCCAAACATACTCGATCGATTGCTTGCAGCATTTTGAATACATCACCTTCATTGCTGCCTTCACACAACGACTGAAGATCAAAAGGTAAATTCAATTTTAATTGAAAATCTAAAACAAAATCAATTGCTTTCCAATTCTCTAAAAAAATACAAAAAAAATTAAAACAAAATACATGTTGAAAACAAATAACTACTTACTTTCCAATACGTGTCCTTTTTCTAGTTTCACACATTTTACATTGATGTCGTTCCCAAATAAATCTATTTCATCAAATTGCAATGATATTGCAAACGTGAACAATTGTTTATGAGTGAATAGTAATATGCCACGAGACTGCATTTGAAAGTCGAATATCCAATTAGTTGAGTTTGCACTGAAAAAATAAAAACGTAACTTTTTATGAATCCTTTTCCCAGTTTTTCAGAAAGTTCAATGTACCTTAAAAGGGCATCCAATCTTAAAACAAATGGCAGTTTATCTTTGCAAGTTTTGTTTTGTTGTTGCATCAGGAGGTCAGTTTCGAAACTAAAATAATAATAATAACATTAATACGAAATTCAGTTTTAATTTTGATTTTTACCTGCCTTAATAAATCATTTTTATAATTTCGAATACATTTTGCAACTGCACTAGACTCCTCTTCCGTTTCGTCATCTAGATCGGAAATAATTTGGCTCTCATCGTCGGAAATATTGAAAGGATTGATTATTGTTCGATCTAAGCTGACGCGCTGCCACATAATATTTACATCCGATATAATAGGTCGTTTGCGTAAACGTCTTAAACGATCTAGCCCTAAATCGGGAAGGGGCGGTAATGGAGGCAATACAAACGAATCGTATGTACTTGAAGTAGTTTCATTTAAAACCGTCTCCTGACAACGTTTACATTTTCGACATACAGCGGAGGTATTACGTAAATAATTCACACTTTGGCGCCTATTTTTCCAATCTAAATTGTTTTCAACATTCTCAGTAACAACATCATCACACGGTGGAGTCGTGTCTTCTTGTTCTTCGTAAGATATCCGTACAAGACTTAAACGTGTTTGCTCTATATCTTCTAAAGTAAGATTTAAATGATGATTCTCCAAACTCTTTTTCATTCTTTCTATAGCCTTGAGGCCGTTAACATCATTTTGTTCCACAGCTAAATTGTTCTCAGTTTGTGGAATAAGACTGTTGCTTTTCCTTTGAACTTCAAAGAAGACCGAAACATCAGAAATAGTAATGGGATTTCCTTCAAATATAGAAGGCTTTCTTGCAGCCTCATTTTCAATATCCAAATCAATTGGACCGATGGTCGTGTCTCTCCTTTGTGTAAACGTTGTAGCCCTACGCATAAATTGAATACTCTCCGCAAGATTATCGCCTTCCATGTTGATTTGATCTTCTCCTTCTCTATTATTATCGGAGGTTGTTTCAACTAAGGATTTATACGATTTCTTTCCACTACTAATCGGTATTGGAATACACGATTTTTTTTGTTTCGATGGTGGAGTGTGTAATACAGATTCATTTGAAACAATACCGGACATTTCAATTACTTGGTTATAAGTTCCGCACCTACTTAGGCGGAATGGCTCCTGCTCCTTAACCATCTCCATTTCGTAATCTAGAACTTTAGGGCTTACAAGTTTTCCAATATTTTTTTCAGTTTGTGGGGATGTGCTCGATTCATCTATTTGACAATCGTCAAAAACCAATGTTTGCCTCTTTTTTGGAATTGAAAGTACTGGCGTTAAATTGACGGGTAAACGTTTATTAGTGCCTTCATTTCGAAGCGGGCTAATATATTTCATATTCTGTAAACGTTCCTCTTCTTTGGCTTTTCTTTCCTCAGCTGTAAATTCCAAAAGAGATAGACGAGGTGTCATATAAATCAGGCGATTATTAGAATTACTACCAGTAAAGTTCACAGGTGTCATTGGAGCATTTTCTTGCGTGTTCGTTGATTTCGATTTACTAGTCATGGAATTTGACTTGGTATGCCGTGCCAACACCATTTTGGCCGCATTCAATGGTTCGCCAGGCTCTGGAAATTGATAATTTTCTGCGGGCGTAAATGATTGATCGATTGACATATCATATTTGTCTTTAAAATCACTGATTTGATCATCTTTAGCATATTCAGATGTATTTTCAATCTGCTGGTCAACATCTAAATCCATCATACGGTTATCTCCGCTCGGCACTTGTTGTTCAGTTACAAGTAAATTTGTTTCTTGTTCATCTCCGTCAAATGTCAAATCCATATGCTCAGCTGTATAAATACTTTTTCTACGAGGCACCACTTGTTGTTTATTCTCATTGTCATTATTGCTACTTATTGCATCCAAAGTAAAATCCATCAGCTTATCCTGCCTTGGACAGCGATCAAAGGAGGACTTTTCATTATTGTCTTTAAAATCACTTATTTTATCATCTTTAGCAAATTCAGATGTATTTTTAATCTGCTGGTCAATATCTAAATTCAAATCCATCATACGATTATCTTTGCTGGGCACTTGTGGTTCGGTTACAATTCCATTTTTTTCTTGTTCATCTGTGTCAAAAGTTAAATCCATATTCTCAGTTGTATAAACACTTTTTCTACGAGGCACCACTTGTTTATTCTCATTGACATTATTGCTATATATTGTATCCATCATCTTACCCTGCTCTGGACAGCAAAAATCTGATTTGTCTTTAACTTTTGTTATTACTTCGTTGAGCGTTACATCCATATCTTGTGATATATGTATGCTTTTTCGAGACTGAGATACACGATTACACAACAGCTGATCTGTCGTTTGTGATTTGGATTGATCCAATTCGCAAACTTCAATATTTTTAATCGAAACATTTTCGACAGAAATTCCATTATCGAAATAAAAATTTTTCGCAGAATTTGAATCGCAAATACCAGTTTTAATTATTTCTGTTCCATAATGGTTTACGCTTTCAATTTGTTCATTTTCTGTTGGAATTTCACTATTGAAAAAAGCCGTCTTTCTCAATGGTTTGGAATTAAAAACACCTGTATCAACTATTTCAACATCAATATTTTGAATCGGGTTTTCAATCGGAATTTCATTATTGAAGTACAGAGTTGTCACCAAAGATTTCGAATTAAAAGAGCCTACATCAGCATTTTCAGCATCAATATTATTCTTAGTTCTCAACGCATCCTTTTCAACCTGAATTTCATTGTTGAAATACAAGGTTTTTCTCGTTGATTTTAAACTGTCGGTTTTAGTGATTTCCAGCATTTGAATTGATGCTAATGATGGGGCTGGGTTTTCAAGAGTTTCATCAAAGTTAATCTCCGAATTGTACATTAAAGTTATACCATTTTTATCGATTTCAGATTTATCACATTCTTTTGATGTTGTTTGATTATCTTCAATTATATTATCATTGTCGAAGTATATGGTATTTCTTCGGGGGATTTTACTTTCTTCTGATACGTTTTGATTATTTTGCGGAATAATAGTTTTTTTTTCATGGTCGAATAATATTTCGTCTCCGATATAATCGTTTGGGTACAATGTTTGTCTTTTACTGCTAATGGTATCAGTACATTGTGTGTTTATATTTTCGTCTTTAACATCCACATTAAGATGAAAATCTTTAAAATCATCATTAACGTTAGTGGATTTGGTAGATTTTTCCATATTGGTATTTTCTTTGGCTTCAGAGTTGAATGATACATCGATATCATTGTTAAGATATATTGTTTGTATTGTACATTTTTCGACTAAATTATGAATTTGTCTAGTATTCATATCTGCTTCATCCTTATTTGTTGTTTCTAAGTGAATATTATTTTCATCATTTAAGCCTGTATCTACAGTATTAGTTAATCCTTTGTCCAATTGCTGTTGTGCTATCGATACATCCAGTTCACAAAATTCATTATTGAAATGCAATGTTTTCCTTATTGGCTTTGAATTATAAGAAAAATTACCATCATTTTCAACTTCGATATTTTCCTCCTTATGAATCGATTCATTTTTGTTTTTTTGACTTGGGGCTCCATCTTCATTTAGGTGTTCTATTTTGTTAATTTTCTCAACTGATTTTTGTTGTGATTTTTCAATATCAATGCCATATTGGTCATCAATTTCCAATTGGGTATTTGAACAAATACCTGCCTGAGCATTTCTATCACTTTTCATAACACGAATTTCATTTGAGTCCCTATTGTTGATATAGTTACTAGTATATACCTCACAAGGTTCAATGTTTTGATTTAAAAGTATAGTCTGGCGCGGATTGTGAAAACTGCTGTCATATTTATTTTCTTGTTTTTTAAATTTAGAATAATCTACTGCAGTTGATATGTCCATTATATCGTAGGCATCTATATAGTTATTACATTCTTTAATATTTGTAATTGCTTGTGTAAATATTGGTTTGGCATTTTGAAACATAGAACTAAGCGTATCATTTTCTTTATTGCTGAAAAAAGTAAAAAAAAAAAAAAATAGTAGATTTATACGGGCTTTTAAAACTGCACCTTTTAAAATTATCTTAAAAGTGAAGAAATTTTTACTCTAAAAAAAATTTTAAACCTGTAGCAATGCTAAATGTTTATATAGGACACCGCAGTATATTTATTTTTTAACATAACCCTTAAATGCATGAGGGGACAAAGAAACAAAAAAAGCAATATAAAAATAGGTTAATGGTAAAAAGTTTTGACTTTGAAATACATATATAAATATCGGCGTTCGGCGGTGTACATATAATACAGCGTCAATGTGTACATTATAGTCTTTAATGATTTATGGGCCGTTATTACTTCATTGAGCTTTTTAATCCATATATGTATTATCAGTAGAGAGAGAGGAGATAAGCTCTTTATAGGTTTTCTTGAACTTCCATAAAATAAGGTCAATAACAATTTCTTTTTTTTTAATTTGATATAAGAGCATTTCCATAAGATGGTCTACCGAGACTGAACAAATTGTTCCACTGTTTATATAATATACAACACTTAGATAATTGCATAAATACAATTGCAAAAATATACGACATCGTGAATTGGACTTCTATTATACTAAAGACGACGTCCCATACAACAAAATAACGCTTTAAAGCTCATAATTTTGTTAAATATACTAGTATGTATTTCTACAAATATCCTTAACCGTACTGACGATTTTTGTAATCATTGGACCTCATTTGACCCTAGCCTCCATACAAAGTAACTTTTCTGCAAATTACATAGCCCAGCAAACAAATTTTGTTCAAGAAGAAGGGATATTTTATATTTGAAATACATGTCTAAATTCTAATAAATTTGTCATAAGTGATGGCATGAAAAATAGCACCTTATTCACTCATGTTATTCTACTATAGGAATTATAATATTTCACTATTATTTAGTATTCTCTTAGGAAAGGAAGCGTGCATTTCATATAAAAAATATTAAAAATAACATTAATTTTATTAGATTTTTGTATATAATATTTGTTAAAATTAGTAGTATTAAGTACATTTTAACATCTTACTTAATAAGAGAAGCAAAAACCCGAGTTGACTGACTGTTTGAGAATCATCGAATGTTTATTGAACCCACTACTTTTTTATGCACGTCTTTTTTTTTTGCTGGGAGGCCATAACTATGTTATAAACACTAATATTGTGTTAAAATTAGTCATAAGTAAGTTTTATATAAACGTAAATCCCACCAGAAAATGAGGGTCGGCCATATTTTTATCAACAAATTGCTTAAATCTGTTCGTATATCGGTCGACCATGCCCGACAGTACTTTCTTACTTCTTTTGTATTTGTTTAAGTCTTTGTATATACAGTTAATCACAAAAATAATTATACAAAAATACATACAATTGGTTTTACAGTACTTTCTTACTTCTTTTGTATTTGTTTAAGTCTTTGTATATACAGTTAATCACAAAAATAATTATACAGAAATACAGACAATTGGTTTTATTTAAAAAGGTATATTATTTTTCCAAAAAAAAAAGTAACACAATTATTTATTAAAAACAATTATGATAATTATTATTCACTAATTTTTTCTGGATATTTTGGTTATTTGAGTTCTCATTCAAGGTGAAGTTAAATAGGTGCAAAATTTACGTCACAAAAGTAAGTATACAGATAATTTCAATTTGTATTTGGTTTAATTATATTAACAAAATTTTTGAACATTTTACCTGGTTGAGTACAATTACTTTATAATAAGATATTTTTCACACAATAACTTAAAAAAAATCACGAATATTCGTCATAGGAGCATTAGTTTCCTATTTAAGGGCAGTTTTCTATTAAAACCCCCGGAATTTTGCATCGCGTATTCAATAAGATCCCTTGTTTGTTCATTGTGATGCATTACAAGATGATATTCTGACTTCTAAAGTAATTATTTCTTTACAATAATTGCAATTCTTTTCGGACCATTACTGTTTTTAACAAGGTACAGCATTCGTAATCGATATTTAATTGCGATTTAATAAAATTTATTTCTTAAAATGCGAAATTAATAATATTTGTCCTAGTATCGATTAATTAAAACAAGTTTTTTTATTCCAATCATCCATTACACACTACTAAATACTACAAATAATCGTCAAATGGTGACCATGTCAATAACTTACTCTACATATCGGTTCAGAAATTGGTTATTGTCTAAAATAATAAGTTTTTTATATTAAATCAGACTTAATTAGTGGTATAAATACGAATTGAACAATTTTGAACACGGATACGTCTTAATTTGTTGGTAGAACAAATAAAATGTCCGATCCATAAAACATGGTTATTGTCTCGAGCATATCAAGATATGATTGGTAGCATTTTTGTATTCTTTGGAAATCGGAGGATGTGAAAAACATGTTCAAATTAATGAAAATATACACAATTATCGAAGTCTTCAACAATATGAAGTAAGACTTAATAAATCGGAGTTAAATTCGGATTGGAAGAACGTACTGTGTTCAAAATATTCGAAATCCCAGCATATTGCATTGATTGCAAAATAGTAACTCTTTTCAAAAGTTAAAAATTCAACTTCTAAAACATCATCCAAATCCGGGATATAAAGTGTAAAAATAGTTCGTAAAAATTAGAAAAGCTGTTCCACTAATCATATCAGAAGCCAATCGACTCAAATTTCAAAATTTCGGAACAAAAAGTGTTTTTTTTTTTCAAGTTATTGTGTAAAAAATATTTAATTATAAAGTTAACTTCACCTTAAGGTGATTTCTTTTCTGGCATAAACCTGAAAAACCTGAAAATATGCTACGTGTTTCACCCTGAATTTAATCAAAGGGTTGGAAGTGCAGCACTATTGAAACAGCTGTTCTTGTTATTGTAGCTATATCGAAATAATCTAAAAAAATTACTAAAGCCCATGGTAAAAATATTATTATTTTTTTTTTCTTTAAAACATTCTTCGTAAAGTTAGCTTTCCGATAATAATAAATAATTTTATTGGAAATTATTTGGATAATTAAAAAAAATAGATTTTCATTTTGTATATAATCATTAGTTTTAAAATCGTTAATTACTTAAAAAAAACGCTAAATGGATAAAAAACAACCTAAATAATTGCATAAAGGGCTATGATTTTTGTTCTTTTATGATCGTTTAAAATGCAACACATTATGAGGGTTTGTGTAACCTCTAATAAGTGCTACAAAACATGTTGGCAACATTTTTTATCAGAAAAGAGATCACCATTAAATTAGAACTCAAATAACCAAAATATCAAGAAAAAAAGTAGTTAGAATAACACTGTGTGACACTCAAAAACACTCATTACGCGATATAATGTTTTTTATAGACCTAGATGAGTAGATCATTTTACCATTTTTAGAATTTTCAATATACCCTAAAAATCGGAAGATATTAGAAAAAACGCCTTTTGTTGACTAGAACGACCAAAAAAATTATATCTCATAATTTTCTTAACCGATTTAATATTTTTCAACTGTTTTGAAAATAGTTTTTGTTGTCCTTTTTAAAAAGTATACACACTTTTATATTTTTTACGGAAATGTGTAAAATGTTTAGATCTAAATACAAATTTTTATATTTTTTTAATTTTTTTACAATTCAAGATCATTTTTGACCCACACTTTAATTGACCACACTCAATTCGAATAATAAAGCTTAAATTTGTGTTGCATATTTTACGTTGATATTTTACTTCAGCAAAAGATAGATTTGGTGATTTTTTTTTTTTTGTGTCAGTTTTTCACGTTTCAACGTTTGATACATAGAAAAGGTATACATAGAACTGAAACTGAGTATGACAAAACCTAAGTCTGCTGTCAAAAACCTAAGTCGTGAGAATGTATTAGTTGAAAAATATGTAACCCAACAAACACAAACTCTTTCGTTTAAAAAGTTTTTATATTTTTGTTTGATATTATATTTCGATATTTTATGAAATAATGGTTTGAATTAGCCATTTTTATTCAATATCAGTTGACCAATGTAAGAAAGATCTTCATTAAAAATTATTTTTAATTTTAAATAAACTCTTTGTGGTTGCTGGGTTGAGTCAATATTGACACTTGAAAATAATATTAAAAAATAAAAACGATTGAAAAATTTGTTTTTTTTTCTGAAAATGTTTTCAATAATTTTATGGGAAAACATAACTTTTAGCAGTGTTTATTGCAGCAGCAGGGGCTATTTTGCCAAAGGAATTGTGCTAATGCTAAAATTAACGCTTGATATGAACGATTATTGTTAATTTCAAAGCAGCCCAAATGCAGTCAAAATACACCCTACACCACACTAATGGGAACGGTATTTTGTTTACGTCTTAAAGTTTGTAACACCTGCGTCGATGTAATGATGTAATCCGCCCATAAATTAGCCTATTGAACTTTTTTGTAAGCGGTACATGCTATACAAGAATAGAGTATTTATAAAATTCGACTCAACAAATTTTATATATACGAAATTTTGACTATATATTGTTATAATGAGTAGTACATTCATTAATTAAGCAAACATCAATCTCTTGAATATAACTTCTACATTAAAAAATACTAAATAACTTATTGCTACTTACTCGCAATGTGGTAGGGTATGGTGTATTCGGATACATTTTGTACTTTCATATTTTTGTTATTTTATGTAAACAAACATAAAAATACTCATACAATTGTATGAAATTCACACAGAACCTGTACATGTGAGAGAGTAATATTTCTTATTCTCAGTTTCAGTTCTATTTATTTTTCTATGGTTTGATATCTTATTTTATTCACAAAAATATGGGCTAAAATAAAAAATATTTTAAAAATATGTTTTTTAATAAAGTGTGGGTAATAGGGATGCCAAACGGGACTGGCTTTTACAAATCCCGGGATTCGGGATTTTGAAAATTGCAATCCCGGGATCCCGGGATATTTCGGGATCCCGGGATTTTTCGGGATCCCGGGATTTTTCGGTATTTCGGAATTTTACGGGATTTCGGGATTACATGAATTTAATTATTTTATATATCAAAATCTTTAAATCATCATATTTGTAAAGAAAATTGTTTAATTTTGTGGAAATTTAACAGACAGAAGATATATTTAAATTAAAACAATCCAATTAATTCCAATTTTTAAATAAAAACTTTCAGAATTGAATAATTTCTGAAACTTTTTAAATACATACTTACTTCCTAAATAAAAATAAATATCAAGTTCCGAAATTAGACATAAGCACTTTTTAAAACCTCATACTGTTCCATGTGAACTAATAATTATAACAGATACCAATTCAATTATTCGAACATCAATTTAGAACCTATTCTTTGAAAAATATTTGGAATTTTACTCAAAATACATATTAGTTTTGGAACATATTATTATATTCGTAGTATTAATTTAAAATTTTAGGTGCATTCAGAACAAGGTAATTTACCTTTACCGGTATCATTCAGATTTGTAGAAAGTTAGAAATGTAAAATCCTCTAGTATTGAAAAATAAAGTTTGTATTCGACTGTGCCGAAATTAAATACCCACCATCAAAATATTGTAATGTATTGATATTAATATCAGCATCAATGTGATTTTCAGAGGAGGTCCAATTAGGTTTTTTTGTGTCAATTTTGTTCCAAATTTGCAGCCCAAATAGAATGAGTCTTCTAACTCGTGTTTTCAGCTTACAGACACAGAATGTGTATACTTTTTGGGTCGGTCTACGACCAACATTGCAATGTGCTAACAAGTAAAAAGTTATAGTTGGGCGAAGCCTACCATACCCTACACAAGTTATAAAAATAAAATGTGATTTATTGTTCATAATAAAGCATCTAAGTTGAATTGTACCTTGCCTCAGATATAATTTAGCTATTTTTTGTTGAATAAAATTGTGTACATTTAAGTCATATTTCGAAGGGGGCTTTGCATAGGGGCTAGGGTCAAATGAGGCCGCATCATCAAAAAATACATCAGGGTCATGAAGGCTAGTATAGAACTTGGTTTTGCAGCTTTTTGTCGAGTTACGAGTATATTGAACATAATTATGAACTTAAAACCCCTATTTGGGGGGTTCAGTTGTATGGGGGCTAGGTCAAATATTGGACCGATGTTATCCATTTTCAATAGGATCCGTCTCTAGTACAATAGAAGATCATGCAAAATTTCATTGAATTATCTTCAAAATTGCTGTAGTTTGATTACAAGGTTTACACGGACGGACGGACAGACGGACGGACATAGCTAAATCGACTCAGAAAATGATTCTGAGCCGATTGGTATACTTTAAGGTATAGGACCAATATTATTGTGTGTAACAAACATCAGCACAAACCCAATATACCCTCCCCACTAAAGTGGTGTAAGGTATAAAAACGAAGTGAATAAATAAATTTATATGTGCTATGTGTATGGACTCATACCACTTTAAAAAATAAAAGGTTCAAATATGTATAAAATTAGCTCTGCGGAATTTTGTTTTGCATGAGTCAAAAATAAAATAAGATCGTAATTTTCAAATTAATGAAAATTATGGCTCAAAAAAAGAAAATAAAAACAGTTTTTTGAAACAAATCCTAATCCCGAAAAAATCCCGGGATTTATTTTCCAAATCCCGGGATTTATTTTCCAAATCCCGGGATTTATTTTCCAAATCCCGGGATTCGGGATTTGCCAATCCCGAAAAATCCCGGGATTTTCGGGATCGGGATTTCGGGATTGGCATCCCTAGTGGGTAAACATTATCCTGAATTGTAAAAAAAAAATTAAAAAAATATAAAAAGTTGTATTTAAATCTAAATATTTTACACATTTCCTTAAAAAATATAAAAGTGTGTGTAATTTTTGAAAAGTACAAAGGAAACTCTTTCCAAAACAGTTGAAAAATATTAAATCGGTTAGAAAATTTTGAGATATATTTTTTTTTTTGGTCTGTCTAATCAACAAAAAGCGTTTTTTTCAAATATCTTCCGATTTAGGGTATATTGAAGATTCTAAAAATGGTACTGTAATCTACTCTACTAGACCTACCAACTTCACTAGGTCTCGCGATGAGTGTACTGTTTTTTTGTAATTTTGTCACACCGTGTAATTGTTATAATTAGTTTTAATAAATAAATGTGCTACTTTTTGTTTTTTCAAAACGTAATATAGCTTTTTAAATAAAATCAATTGTCGGTATTTCTTTATACATACTTATTTTTGTGAATAACTGTATGTATATTTTTTAAAGAAGCAACAAGAACAACATAAATATCATGATGGAAACAAGAAGCGTTCAACATGTACTTGTACATGTACATGACTTGGTAATCTATTAGGATGAAGATTATTTATATGTGCATTAGGGTGTCCCGTGGACCACTTATTAGGAGGAATACCTCTAAAACGATGCGTTTCAATGTACTAAATACGGGAAAAATAAAAAACAATTTTTATGAAAAGGTCCTCAGTTCCCTACCTGCGATTGAAAATCTTATTTTTCCCGCGACAAGCGGGATTTTTGATAGTGTATTTTGGTAAATAAATTTCAACAATTCAAAAATGGATTAAACCAAGTGCTAAATTATTCATTAAATATTTTTCTGTATGAGCTAAAAATTACGACAATTTTGACACACATTTCGATAAAAAGCGAAAACAATATTTCAATCGCTGATAGGGAACTGAGGACCATTCCAAAAAAAAAAATATTTTTATTTTTCTCGTGTTCTCGTACAATAAATCGCATCGATTGAGTGGTATTCATACATGAAATACTTTAAAAGACTGTTCCTCGGGACACTCTAATGTACATATACATATACTTAAAGTGTTCATTAAATGACAACTTACCATGATTTTTTAGCCTTCACACATGAACCTAATAAACCTCCGTCAAGTTTACTCGCGGCATCCCTTAATGATTCATCAAATAAGTCCATGATGCCATTTAGTTGCGTTACTTCCCTCTTTGAAGTGCTCCGACATATAGTCTCATCGCTCAATTTGGCTCTCGTTAGGAAACTAGTATTATCCAGCATTATATCATCGGCTTGTGAGTAACGACACTTAGCATTATTTTTCTTGTTTTGTGAAATGCCATCTTGAGTACAATTAAAATCGAAAAAATTATTTGATTTTGCAGTTTTTTGGTCCTTATTCAAGGTGTCGTCAGACGATGTCGGTATATCTACATCATCAAAAACAAGAGTTCTCCTTTGTTTGGTTAATGGTTGAGAAGATGACTGAAAATGCTTTGAAGAAAAGTTAGATGCGATATTTCGGTTCTTACGATCAGTACTGGGAGTTTTTGGTGCATTTGCAAAAACGTTTATTTTACCACGTTCAAGTTCGTCATTTAACTGCTTAAAGTTTAAAGCTTTAAATTCGGATGGAATTAAGGGAGACGACGATTCAGGCGACAAAGACATATTTTTTACACTACTCAACGAAAAGTTTAAGGACTTCTCTGCATTTGACCCTTTTCCTTTTTCTATTCCAACAGCAGCCACATTTTCAGCGTAACCAGACGCTACATTTTGTTCTTGTTTCTTTTTGTATCGCAACATTCTTTGTTGCTCCAAGTCGATTGGATTTTTATTTTTATTTACAAGTGGTGTGCATATTTTCCGAACAACTAACTTTGGTAACTGACCAGGTTTACGAATACTTTCTGGAACATTCAAGTTATTGGTCGTAACAGGTTTTTGTGTTAGCTTTACGGGAGAATCAGAAATATCTTCATTAAAATTAATCGTTTGTCTTGGCAAATTGGTTTTCACTTTGGGTGGACTGGTTTCAATGGGTTGATGGAAATTTATAGTAGGACGAGATCTTACTTTGGGTATAGTTCCCTGTTGATTATTGCTTTCTGCAACAATTGCATTTTTGGAATCAATTTCCATCGACTGGTTAAAATTTAAAGTTTGCCGAGACTTATCTTTAGGGAAAAAATTATACCCTGTTTTTACATCAACATTCTTCGGAGAAAATTCAATAGTTTTATTAAAGTTAATACTCTGTCGTAGGTTTACTTTTTTAATCGGTATTATAATTTGAGAACTTTCACTTTTGCCTTTTTGTGGTGATATTTCAATAGGTTGATTACAATTAATTGTTTCACGAGAATTTTTTTTATTTTTGACTAATGTCTCTTTTGGAGACATTTCCATAGCTTCATTAAAGTTGATAGTTGACCTCGCTTTAATATTTGGCTCTGCAATACGGTTTTCTAAACTATTATCGATATTCATATTATCATCAGAATCTTGTAAAAAAGACAAACGATTTAGTTTTTCTTGAAATGCAAGCGTTTCTTTTTGAACATTTACATCATTTGTTTGCGATGGTATTTTGAGTTCATCGTTAATTTCCATTTCGCAAGTTTCATTTTGAGTTCCGTTCACATTTGGTAGTGATGTTGGATTTATATTCTCTTTGTCATACTGTATGGCCATATTGGGGGAAAGATTCATTGCTGTTGCTTGTTGTATTGTTCTTCTATTATTTTTTATTGTCTTCTCATTGCCTGACATTGACAGGGAATCGTTCATATAAATTGTTATTGGCTCCTTAGAACTTTTAACTGTGGTACATGTAACATCAACATATTGGTCCTAAATTTACAGAAAAAGCAATATGTATAAAATTTAAATAATGCAAGGTTATAAAGTCGTATAAATAACTGGACACCATAAATACTGACAGTATTTTACTAAAATATTTATTAACATGTAATTTAATGAATTTTAACACAATTTTGTAAAACTTTTAAACATTTTTGGCCCATAAGGGCTCTGTTAAATATATAAAAAATAAATAAATAAAAATGTAAATGAAACAGAACTTAATATATTTGTAATGCCTATGGGCAATTTCGTGTCAAGTGACCCAAATTTAAAAATCGATGTCTTCCGATTTGAATCAAATCTGCACCAAGGTTAGTACTTTTGGATAGTAGGTCAGACAAAAATTGGTCCTAGCAATAATTGTCCAAATGAGTTTAGATTTCTTCACTGTTTCCAAAAAAATTTAATTTTTCTTAATAAATTTTTTTTAAATACTCCCTTTTTTGCACAAAGAAAGCTTATTAAATTTCCATTAAGGGCTTTATTGTCGTTTAATGGGATGCGAGTGTGATATCTATTACAAAAAATATTTTAGAACTCAAGAATATTTTTCTCAATATTTAGCACTTAATTCTCCCGTATTTTTTTTTTTAAAGGACGTTTAAATATGGTTTAAATATGTTAGAAAAATTAAATTTCTTAAAAAATGTTTCCCTAAAGTGAACCCAAATGCATTTTCAAATGCAACCAAAAAATGTAATGTTTTGCATTTTACCCAAAAATGTCATGTTCCCAAGACTAAGAAATGAAAACAAAAAATAAATAATAAATACCTCATCCATATATTCACTGAAATCTGTAACGCATTTGCCATCCTTTAAATTGTTTGTTTTTGTATCATCTCTGATATTTGACGAATCTACTCTTAATTCGCTCATATAGTCAACTGTTCTATCAGCAAATATAATTGATCGCGCTTCCTTTTCATTATCATTCAATGAAAAACTGAACAAATTATTTGTTGTATGTTCCCGATCTTTGTTTTGTTCATTTTTAAAATTTTGTATTTCACTTTCGTTGAGTGTGATATCGACGCTATTCTCAATGTGAAACTTTTTACTATTTTGATGTTGATATGAATTATTTATCAAATCTTTAGTTGTACTAAAAATTGATTGATTGTTGCTAACAGACATATTCTTCTGATGGTAACTTAATTCCATTTGCATCTCCTGTTGCGTATTAGATTGACCAACATTTTCCTTATTATTGTGTTTATTTTTTAAAGCGCTTCGTGGTATTTCATTTTTAATAGGTGCACCTAAATTTGATGCAGTTTCGTTTCCATTTAAATGATCCGAAATTTCATACGAATTGTTCCATGTTTTTGGTTCTTCTTCGCCATGAAATACCCTTAAAAATGAAAGGTAGAAGAGATGAATTATGCAAAATTTCACACATATGCCCCCGGTTCTGTTCGAATAGGTCATAACTAATAACAATTCAGTTTTTTTTTTCTTTTTTCATTCGAAATACCGAACATCTGGGGATAAGCATAGTAATAAACATTAATTACCTTACTGAATTTTTACCACTAAAACTAATACGTCTCTTTATCTGAGTTTTAATGATATCAACATCAGTTGATATGGATTTTCGTAGCTAAAATAAAAAAAATGGTTTCGCATTTAATGTAATAATTAACAGAAAAAGTAAAATAAAATGTTTTTTGCAAAAATAAAGCTAAGATAACCCTAAAACAAACAAAATTTGATAAAAGTCAAAACTCAGAGGATAAAATATACATTTCTAAAGGATTTAACATCTCTAAGTCCAAATCACTTCTTAGATATCGTGTCCCAAAAATTGAAAAAACTCAGAGACCTTATGAAAGCGGGAAGACCCTTCATTTATAAAATTAGTTATATCTCTGAAAGGCACATCTGTCAACTTTAAAATAAATGTTTAATATCAGTCTTATCTGCATCATTATTAGAGATATCTTAGGTTAAATTTGGAAAAAATATAAATCCCAACAAAAAATGTATGTATGTACCTATGTATATTGCAATAATATCATTGAACGATATCTTCGGAAGTACAAGACATTTTTAAACAATTTAAACCGATTTTTATGATAATAATTATAACGAATTGAGCTATTTAAGTCTGTCATAGTTACGGTTGCAGATATGAATGAGATTAAACCTTCATTTTAAAGTATGCGATTGGACGTAACAAATTTTATCAGCACGCTATTCAAATATATTTAAAAGCGGGGATTTTTCAGTTTTTACGGCACGATATCTCAAAACCAGATACTCAATCGTTTAGAAAAAGTATACTTTGGTCTCTGGGTTAAACATTTGTTGGCCTATGTAATTCAATTTCATTTCACCTAGTTTCATTCCGATATATTATTTGATTTTTCCAAAATAACTTTTATATGTAGGTACCCAGCTACAAATAAATTTTGTGTACTTACATTTTTATGAGTTAAAAAAGCATTTTTGAGGTTTTATGTTAAATATGTGAAATTCCCCAATTTATGTTAATGTTATTTAAGTCATATTAACTGTTTCTATTATATGTAAAACAATATCAATCACAAAAAACATTAACAAAGAAACCTGAATTACTTCATAAGAATGACTTTAGCATTGATTTTGGAATCCACTAAAAATAACATCCCTCCTATGACAAGCCTGTGTTAAAATCATCACTCTGTAGGTACTCTTCAGTATTCCCATGGAATAAATTCTTTTAATCTTCTTTTAAAGTTATTTTTTGCTAGGTACCTAGACAAACTACGCTTTATTACTTTCTTTAGTAGCAATTTGGAGCAATCAAGATATAAAACATTTGCTTTATGCAGTTTAAAAAACTTCTTAGATGCGATGGTATCTAAAGGAGATAAAATAACTACACTTTTACGTTAGCTGGAGACCAAATATATCCAATGGATAACATTTGTATCATACGGTACACACTCAACTGTATTTTAATGGAATAGAAATAATATCACTTTATTGAACTCACCGTGCTCCTGCGTTTTTTTGAATCCATTTTTATTATATTAATTGCTTGATTATATTATTATTATTATTAATTTATTTAAAACTTATAAAAACATAATTTGATTAAAAAGACGCTTTAAAAATATTTTGAAATGTTGTTTTTGCCAATAATTGTTGGCTGCACTGAAGCAGTGCAGCCAATATTAACGGCGGCAGCTAAATATAAAAATATCGGCGGCGGCTTAAAAACGACTTTAAGCCGGCTAAGTTTTCAACTAGTTTTAAATTATCAACGATTTTAAATGAAAACGGAATCTGAGAGATTAAAAAGTGGGATTTTTGAAGCAAATATTTTAAAAATCGGGATTGTCGACCAGAGTAGGAAATTTTTGCATACGTGAATACTATTTTAAACTCTCGAGAACTATTTTTATTTCATCTCTTCATTTTTACACCATTCACCTTCGTGCGAAGGGTATATATAAGTTTGTCATTCCGTTTGTAATTTCTATAATATAATTTTTCGACCCTATAAAGCATATATATTCTGAATCCTTATAAATAGAGGTGACGATTGAGCCATGTCCTTCAATTGAAATAAATTTTTTGAAGACATCAGATATCTTCGGGATCCAAATTTCCAATAATTCTGTTAGACATATTTTCGAGAAGTTTCAGCAAAATCGGTTCATAAATAACAGAAGATATGAGCAAAAAACCGAGTATTTGTGGGCATCCATATCCAAAAAAACAGCAACATGCAGCTTAAAATGGTATACATTGTTCTGTTTTATGGTATACATTGTTCTGGTTTACATGTTTATAACCAAAGAATATACATATTTATAACAACAAAACAGAGAAAACACAAAAATTGTATGGAAAATTATGCTGGGATGAAAAAAATGTATGTATTTGACCCTATCCCCCATATAAAACATCTTGCAGAAAATCAGTTTCTGAACAATTTTGCATTAAGAAAAAGATCAATAACGTAAAAACAAAGTTGCATTTTACCCATGATAATAGATATAGTTTTCTATTGCATTTATAAATATTACAGTTTATAGGTATATAAAATACTTTGTAAAAGCATCCCCAAACTTGGAAGACAGTGCAAAACTAAAATAAGCAAGTAAAAGTGCTACATTCGGCTGTGCCGAATCTTATACACCCTTCACCATAGTGTTCAAGATTTTTTCTTTAATTTGTCTAAAAAATCGCATTACTCATATGCAAATGCTTTCCCATCTCTGCAACTAAGAAATAAATTCAAAACAACAACAAACACTGTTTACTGTTTATTATAAAAAAGCAAACACAACATACACACCAGAGAACAGAATGAAACCATTCACGTTTACTGACCATTCGCAAATTCATTGCTTTTGAATTGCCTTTACTCGACAATAATATAAATGTGCATTGCCTTTATTACAATCTCTTTTTATATGAGTTCATACATCAAGCAACGAAATAATTCAATGACACATGAAAAAACTAAAAACATTCACACCATTCGTCCAGTATTCGTTGCAGAGTATGAAAGCAATCTCATTTAAATGAGACCTTTCGCAAACGTTTATATAATGTACAATACTAATACTAATGTACATGAGCAAAACTAAAACAAATACTTTTGAAGTAGGAAAACAAAAGCAGAAACGTATTTAATGAAAAATTTATTTAGTGCGTTTGATTTCAAATAATTTTTTATTGTTTAATTTGAAATATATTAAGCTTTTAAAAATTTTTTAAAATCTATTTCTTTACAAAATATACTCCTCGCCACTTGAATAGCACATATATCAAGCTTTTTTTACAAAGCTTATATTTTTGGATCAGGAATTTTTGGAAACTTGTTTTTTCCCCTCATTGTAATATTTTTTGTTCTGAATAAAATGTGATGCGAATGGTTGTCATATCTGTAATATTTGATTTTATATATTTTTTTTTTTTTTGTAAATTAACCGAAAAAACCTACTGTTAAAAATTCGCCACTTGAATAGAACATCCCCCAGAAAAAGTAATTTTATAGCAACTTTTGTAATTAAAACTTATTGATTTAGATTATTTACAACGATATAAATTAAACTAAGCTATTTTAGCAATGTGTTAAACCTCCTTGGTTGACTAACACTTCACAAACCCTGTTTAAAAGTGATTCATATAGCTTGGCCATGTAATTTAGTTGTACTGAGCTCCAGACTTCTTTAATTGCATAGATTAGTTCAGGAATTGTTGAATACTGTTCAGACTCATAAACCTTTCGGGCAACCCATTCCCACAAGTTTTCTATAATGTTTAAGTCTGGTGAATATGGAGGGCAGCTCAACAATTCAACATTTTGGAACTCTATATAAGATTTTACGATTCCGGTAGTGTGGATCAAGGCGTTATCTTCTTGTAGGATCCAAGGGCTAGGTCCATAGAGATAATTGAAAACCGAAAAAAGCCTTTTTTATTAACCCAATGTAGTTCTTAGCATTTATTCTTCACCTTAAAAACTGATGCTCGAAGGTGCCATAATAGGAAATTGCTCCCCATACCATGAAACCACCAACACTGCTATGTAGATGATCCATATAATGTGGTTCCTTCCGAAGGTCATGAAAAAAAAAAATTATATAAAATCAAATATTACAGATATGACAACCATTCGCATCACATTTTATTCAGAACAAAAAATATTACAATGAGGGGAAAAACAAGTTTCCAAAAATTCCTGATCCAAAAATATAAGCTTTGAAAAGAAAACTTGATATATGTGCTATTGAAGTGGCGAGGAGTGTACACAATTTATTTATAGTTTTCTTTTGGATTTTAATTTGTAAATTTTCTTTTATTTTACATCAAATATTGAAAATAAGCCAAAAAAAAATAGGTTTCATAACACCGCCCGACACTCAAAATTAGACACGAACCGGATGATATACGTCTGAAACTATAAATTTAATGGAGAAAAACTCCGTTTTTCATTTCGTGGTCCTGTGTCCTTTTTAAAGGACTTCAAAGTTTTAAAAAGTGCATTTTAAACAATACCAAATTTGATGTCAAGCGAACAAGAAGAGTTGTAAAATGTTTTGTGTTATTATACCCTTCACCTTCGTGAGAAGGGTATATATAAGTTTGTCATTCCGTTTGTAATTTCTATAATATAATTTTCCGACTCCATAAAGTATATATATTCTGGACCCTTATAGGTAGGGGAGTTGATTAAGCTATGTCCGCATGTCTGTCCGTCTGTGTGTTTGTTGAAATCAGTTTTTAGAGGACCCCAGATATCGGCGAGATCCAAATATTCAATAATTCTGTTAGACATGCTTTCGAGAAGATCGCTTTTTAAAATCAGCAAAATCGGTCCATAAATACCGGAGATATGAGCAAAAATCCGAGACAACATCTGAAAATTTCATAAAAAAAAACTATTTTTTTCATGCTTTGATATAAGCAACAACAACAACACTGCTTATTCATTGAGTATTCGTTTCATATGTTTGGATGGCTGTGTGTTTCATTGCCTTGTGTATATTGTTTTTGTTTCTTGGTGCATTCAGTTTCGTATGTTTGGATGTCTGTTGGTTTCATTGAGTTGTGTATTTTGTTTTTGTTTTTTTGTGCATTTCGTTTCGTATGTAAAAAATACCTTTAATTTTTTAAGGGATAAAAATTTTAAAATACATTTTTGACATCTTTTTATCCTGACATTATAAAATAAAAATAATACAAAATATTCCCCAACTCTTCTTGTTCGATTGACATCAAATTTGATATTGTTTGATCAGTAGAAGTATTTTTAAATATATTTCCGGTTCGTGTCTAGCGAATTGTCGGACGGTGTAATACATGAATGAAAATTGTTCAACACAGTTTGACAACAAATTTGATTTTGTATTAAAGACAATGAAACTCTGATATTATTACAAAGTATTGCAATGTAAAATCCCCTTTAGAGTTTATAAAAAAATGACTTTTGGAGAAACCGGTTTGTCGGTTATCCAAAAATTGGCTATTTGTGCAAAATTGCATAAAATCGTATAGAAAATTGCTGGAGAAATTTAAACCTATTTAAATCGAAACTGACAAGAAATATTTCTACAGAAAGTTTGTTCCACATACAGCAGTCTACTGACAAAAAACGGGTTCGCTCTTAATAAATATCGTTGTGTAAAAATAATTGAACAACTAACCTAATTTCAGAAATATAAATTCCATTGCACTGAACACCAAGTAATGAAACTGTGACGTTTTTTTACAACAATAACGTTACGCTCTTCTCACAGACGAGTTCTGTGTAACTCCAACACACATGTAAGAATGTCACTCTCTCTCAAAACTTCAAAACTTTAAAGTATATTTTATCACTTAAAGTTATATTTTATTATTTTTTTGCACAATTTAAATACATTTTTGTTGTTGAAATTTAAACTGAAAAAAGACAATGTTGTAAATTTTCGTATGGTGGAAATTATTACCTCCATTAACTTCTTAACTTATTGAACAAACTTTGTTTGTTTGATAGATAGATAGATAGATAGATAGATAGATAGATAGATAGATAGATAGATAGATAGATAGATAGATAGATAGATAGATAGATAGATAGATAGATAGATAGATAGATAGATAGATAGATAGATAGATAGATAGATAGATAGATAGATAGATAGATAGATAGATAGATAGATAGATAGATAGATAGATAGATAGATAGATAGATAGATAGATAGATAGATAGATAGATAGATAGATAGATAGATAGATAGATAGATAGATAGATAGATAGATAGATAGATAGATAGATAGATAGATAGATAGATAGATAGATAGATAGATAGATAGATAGACAGATAGATAGATAGATAGATAAATAGATAAATGTATACTACATCAAATCCGAACAAATACACCTAGGCCACAGTCGGGCCTGTTGTGCGCTCCTTATCAAAAAAAACTGAAAGAATGATTTTTCAGTGTTCAGAAACTCAGTTTCCTGAACGTTATTCCTAAGAATCTTCCAATCACTGTAAGTCAGGAATGTTATTTCCGGAATAACATCACTTCCAAGATACTTGGATCTAACTTCGACGAATGCCTGGCAGTGGCAAATAAATTGCTCCAGAGTTTCACTGTCCTCTCCACATGCTCTACATTCGTCTGAATCCGCACGTCCAATTTTGCA